GAATGAAATGATAGGTATGCAAACTCTGCAGACCACCAATGAACTTCCTCTCTTTGTTCTGCCACAGATCTATATTCTCACCTATCGTTTTCTAATTGCTTCGTCTAGATAAGGGTAATGAAGGAAATCTGGATTTCCGGTGTTGCTTCTGTATAACCTGACCGCTTCAGAAGGCACAGATGAGAGCAAGCCGTCCAGCCAATAAATTTCTACATAAACTCTAGAAGAAACTATACTTTCCATGGGATTGATGTGTGGAAGGGGAATACCGATAGACTCTCATTTTGACGCATGCGTATGAGTGCACTGCTTTGACAGGAAAATCTATGCAAAGGTTGAGGAAGAGGCGTACAGTGGATTTCTTCCCAGCATAGTCAGTGAAACGATATTCACAGACCCGGTTCGAGCACACCAGAATAATTGCGCCAAAATATGAAGAAGACAATTCAAACCAGGGTGATGTAAAGGCCAAAACAGTTGTTCACCACTAGAGAATGCATACCGGACAAAAAACTGCAATGACGTGCTTTCCTCTAGCTCTCTATTTGATGCATCTGAATGGCTAATGACACTAATAGAAATGGCTTAGTCGCGCGGCCAGTGGCCCTCGTGAATCAAAGTTATCGCCTTCACTACCCAGTTTCCGAACAAACAGAACACATCATCATCCCCAAGATTTGGCTGTATGTCCTACACTCTCCCGTGTTCCGGTGATTGAAACTGTAGCAACTGGAACCAATGTGCCTGTGGTACACTGAGAGTTGAACGAACCTTCCGAATTGTAAGTTTCCGCCTCAACCACTCCACTATCTTGGCTTATCTCTTCAGATAATCCCCTGAAAAACTTTTAGAACAAATGAACTTTTCATTTGTGTTGTAACTTACCTCTATGGGAATAAGCAATAGTGTCAAGTCATGACTGGAGCATGTGGTTACTTCGTGCATTGCGGTGAGGACTGCGACCAACGGCCAACCTACAGTTCAAGTTAAATTTGGTTTCGCCAGAATACCAACTGAAGACAAAGTGCAACTTATTCGAAGCAATCCCCCTTCGCCTGAAAATCGATCAACCTTAGGGTTACATATCACAGAATTAAGTGAAACGACGGCGTCAGCAGTGTTGTAGATTACACTACTGATTTCTAGACGATACTATAGTTAGTCGTTTACAAATCCATCAGCCGGTGTTCGAAATGAAATATTTGGTGCACCATTAACCAGAGACTTTTTGTATACCACCTCGAAGCAAGTGACATTTACGAGGCCTCGTTCATTCGCGTACTCGGTGAAGTGACCATTGAAACAGGGACACGCTGATGATGAATTAAATTATTAAATTACGAAGAACAAACCGAAGTATGGCGAACGCTCCATCTGTAAGGTAACCAGCATCCCCATATAAGACGAAAACCACCCAGTGTTCTGCACTGAGTAGAATGTTCCGTGCCTGACTGTTTAACATTTCAATGTCTGACTGACCTTTTCATTACCCATGTTCTGGACAATCTCTTCAATTGACAGGTTCCTTTTTGGCTTCAGGTGTCATGCTTGCATTACAGAACCCTTCGTACACGGCTATTTCGAATCTTCCGCTTTTGAGCAAGCTGACTTGAGGAAACGCCTGATGACTACTTTGGCATCTCTTACAAGATCAGCGTATAGACGTTTCATAAGCCAACATAATCCCATGTCCTTATATAGAATCTCAGAAACTAGCCCCCGGTCTGATGCAAATCGAACTGCTGCTTATAAGGATGGTAGAAAATAGCTACTGCGGACCTCAAAATGATTTCCAACAGTAAAATTGACATCGACGTGCATAATTGCTATCCCTCTGTCATATCTCCAAGTTCACATCTATGACTGCCCTCTGCGGTTGTTTGTCTACATACTCATCGGTTTTGTCCGTTTACTGGATTGTGGATAATCGTTTTCCGGCATTCTTTCCATTTTCTCAAGCCAAGCAGGAACAAGATCACGCGCATCCCATCTTAATAAGAGAACAGCTCCCACATTTTACGTAGTATCTCCCATTCCCCTCGACTATGTCATCTATCCGCTTTCAAGTTCCCCACTCCGAACTGGGCACGGAAAACAACGCTGTTCTCAGCGCATGTTAACTCGGCATGCGTGCCACATCGCTCAGATATATTCAGCTTGCAGCGCTGAAAACATGTTTCACTCGGGGCTATCTATGATTACTAACAGAGCAGTACTTCGAGTCAAAATAGAATACTGCGTCCCTTGAGCGTGAAATTTGCCTGAGACACCTGAATCTTAATAAAGTCACGTTAATTCGGTGATATATGGCACAATATGTTTTTTCCAGTCAGCCCTCTCTATGGGAATATGTCTTGGAAGTTCCTACGCGTCCTTCATCAATGAAGGGGTACTGTCGGGGTTTTCCTTCATCTTCTTGATTGGCTTTCAGTAATAGAGACTGGTCTATTGTCTCTAAACAAGTAAAATACTGAATACCGTATAGCTCATAGGCTCCAAGTCGGCGATGACAGTTTATGTATAGAAGTAAACTTCCCCTATTTAGTATATGCACAATCCACTCTCAATAGCACCAGTCCAAAACGTGGTACTAAATCCGGTCTCAGTGTTACCGAAGTTAGATATTGATTGTTTTTTCTCAGTTTGCATTATCCCGTGGATACTTCTTCTGCGTTCCCCTGTAGAACTCGATCATCCACGAATCAACGTTCCCGATAGAAGTGAACGATGAGTTGCTCAGTTCCGTGAGCTCGAGATTGCTCAGTGACTGGGGCGCGAACTTACTGACAGGATGGTTCACGGTTCGAACCTAACCTCGGCATGTCGATTAATCCAGTCTTAGCTGCATGGGCATCTTGGCAGTTTATCAGCCCTCGTGTTCTCATCGGCTGGTGTGGCAGATAGGCACCGAAAGCATGTTACAGTTGAAGACCGGATCCCTAAAACAAAACGCCCAATCATACGATACACATCTTTCTTTTAGCAAAAACGAACTTGCGAATCTTCACACATTACTGGATAAAGATTTCAGTACGTTCTGCTGACGGCCGCCTTGTCAACGAATTTTCTAATTTTTTTTTTAAACAGCGCCGATTAATTAGTCACGCAAATCTACAGTGTAATACTGAAGATGTCATTTACCAACTGCTTACGAAACCTGTGAAGACGCATCTCGCCCTCCTTTTTGGAAAAGTGTTGAACAGAAACAGTTTATATCGATTTATTTAGAGCATGTTAGCTGGATTTCAGGTGGTCGAACCGGTCCTAACAATGAGATGGTTCAAATTTTCGAAGTATACCTATACCACGACATTCGTGAGTTTTATACAAACCGTTAGTTAGTTTGGGGATGGAAATACAGTTGATTCTCAGATATTTCAACGGTTGATGATAATGACACTTTTGTAGATAGGGTTCCCTAGATCGGTCTTAATAAACACTTACTTGTAAACAACTTGTACAGACTTTAAGCACACACACGACGAACATGTACTCCCCACTTGTTTTCCTGCAGGAACTCCATCTGAAAATATTGCTGCGGGGAGTGTACTCTGTTTCCATTTGTTTATAGGTAAATCGTCTCATAGTCATCAAGTCGTTTCCAGGTCTCATCTCCTACCCAGTAGCATACTGAAATACCAGTAGTATGTGAGGTGTCGATTCTGATACGATTTTCCGAATAATCACGACAGTGTCTGTCGAGTGCGGGTGAGATGAACACAGTGTTCGGTCTGTTATCTGCGGATAAGGTTTTGTTCAAGTATATCCGATCGATACAACATATCACATTGTGACTAGACGCTTAGTGTTGAAATATCTCATTGACAGGTATGTGAAAATGACACTGTCTACAAGCAGAGTACAAACCCTTTTATCTCCTCACAAGTGATATAATCTGCATTTTAGTCGCATGCTCTTTAGAAGACAAAAAGTTGTTTGAACGGAATTGAAGTAGCATGTTATTCCCGTAAAACTTTCATGTACTGAGTTAGCAGTCGGAGTGTTGGTTTGCAAGTAAACCTATGGCAACGTAAGAACCACAGACCGAGAGAATAGTGTAGTTATTTTCAACGGTGTCGATTGTCTATGCACAGAGCATCCTCATTTACTAGGGTGGCATAGCGTCTATGCACCGAAATACCGTTACGCTTAAACGATTTTTCTACCAAAATGACTGGTTAGAGCCGTAGTTTTACACGGTAGTTTAGTTTGTGTAACTGCAGCGTTTGCATGACCAGTTTCAGTTCTTCACAAAGTCTAGCGTCGCTTGTTCAGATATCTTGGAGGTTTTGGGAGTCCGATCAAGCTGACCAAGATGGAATTTGTTTATGGCGTCAGAATATTTGGAAAATTCAGTCGAGATTCCCTCCCCCGTAAGTGAAGTCTGTCTATATTGAAAACCTGGAAAGCACTGTGCAGTTGTTTCATTCTTGTTGAAAATCATCAGCAGTGCGCGAAACTCCAGAGAATTTTGAACCCGCAACTTCCAGACTAGTAGTTTTTGAAAACTTGACGGTCCGTCTAGGAGCTGCTGGTTGGCAGTTTGATTAACGCGAAACTTGGAGGGATATAGTATCATTTATATTCCTCCCGCGACTAGACATTTGTGTCAGGTTTGGTCGAGCAACCCGAGAGAGAAATTTCCAGCAAACAAATTCTCATCGGATAGAAAATGTAAGTATATGCACTCAAAAACCATTTGATTAACCGGGAACTTTGTAAATGTGCTACCTAACTGGACACTGTTACTTAAATTAGACTGTTAGTAGTATGTTGGCACAACATTCTGATATTTTTGTAACAATCAACTGGGGTGACTTTTAGATGGTTTCCTGCTATTCTTCGAAAAATGACTGAATGCATTCCGTGCAATTTCTCTGTGAATAAAACAGGATTATTTTGGATGTGTTCTATTAATGGAATGGAGCTGCATACTCCATATTCTGACCAAAAAACTTAGCTCCCAACTGACTAGCGGAGGATTACAACAACACAACACGGCCGAAGTGGTTGAGAGGCATTACCAGCGAGCCAAATTGAAAGTCATCCCAGAAGGTTGGAGTGTATAGCTTTATATTTGAAGTGTAATGTCAGTTTTAAACATGAAGATTTCCTGTCGGACTGAACTTGCGAGATTGGGAGATATCATGTCGGAACTATGCCGAATTAGTTTCAATCTTCGGTAAAATTTTATTGACGCTGGTGTCTGTTCTATTGGATGTACAGCTAACAGAAAACGACGGGGTTCATGTCATACTGGGGTCACATGTATAGCCTGTGGTCAGCTGTTTGGCTGAGACCTACAGCATGCTGCTCGTTTTGATCACAGTCTGACTACAACTGAACACTAGTACAACCATGTTCTGGGAACAGATGTCTCTTTTTCTGAACCTGCAATGATCTTCCTAACTACGGATTGTGGCAGTTGAGGTTTCATTACAAGCCAACCCAAACTCCTTAGTCATGATACTCGTGTTGAAAAAACTGTTTAGTTTGGTAATCATCTTCATTCTGGTCATCACTTAACCTGATCTCATATGGATAGTTGATTCCATGAATCCAAAATCCGATGAAACTCAGAGTGCGTGCAAGCATCTCTTACCTGAGACAGTTGCTCTACCTGTGATCATTTCTCACTAAAACGGACGTACACAAATCGATCCGAATGATGTTACTTCTTTTGAACTGAAGGCGTAAATTTGGAATCCCAAAAGAGAATTCGTCCTGCGAACGCAGTCTGTCCCGGGAAATTGAGGAGCACTGTAGTTCCATCCTATCCTTATTGGGAATCCCACTATTCTACATAAAGATATCGTGAGTGAAGACTGAGGGCCCTAGTTCCTGTCTGAATGCAAGTTAATCACACTGTTGATTAGCCCCCCCCCTTGACCGAGCGGTTTAGTTCTCAATAAGGGTGAAACGTGTACACACTACTTCTCGGCTTTTAAGCTTAGACTTACTTCACTAATTGGAC